CCTGCCCCTTCTCACCAACCCTGCCATGATTTTGCAGCTGCAGCCTGTATTTGCTCTCCCAAAGCAGAAAGAAAAGAACCTGTGAGCACAGCAGTGTTTATTAAGGAACCCACCAGCGAAGGGGTAGAGTCCCACTACCCCACAAACCGCTGCAGGGAGCCACTCGCATGCGCCAAACGCCCACAAGCAGGAAAAGGCAGGGCCACAGGTGTCAGTGGTTCTGTCTGCCTGCAGGCAGGGGTGCTCCAGCGGGTACCCCAGCCTGGTCTCCTCCCAGTCTATGCCACTTTGTCCTTAGGCTGATGCCACTCGAGCTTTGGCCTCCTCGTAGCGTCGCATCCTCTCCTCCAGCTCTGGGCGGAAGTGACGGATGAGGCCCTGCGTAGAGCGAACGAGCGGATGGAGTCAGCCAGGCCGGGCAACACCACTGTCCCCCAACGCCCTGCTCCCAGGGCCAGTCCCGGCCCGAATCCTTTACCTGCACGGGCCAGGCAGCCCCGTCACCCAGCGCGCAGATGGTGTGGCCCTCGATCTGCTTGCTGATCTCCCACAGCGCGTCGATCTCCGCTACTTGGGCGTTGCCCTGCACGAACCGCGCCATGACTTTGTTCATCCAGTCCACGCCTGTGGAGAGATTAAAAAGCTGCGATGCCCCTGCAGCGCGGCCGCTGCCCCGCGGCCTTGCCACCCGGCTGGGCCCCGCGCTCACCTTCTCGGCACGGCGTGCACTGCCCGCAGCTCTCGTGCTTGTAAAACTCAATGAGGCGGGCGATAGCTTTGACAACGTCGGTCTGGGGGAGGAGGGAGCAGACGCTGAGGGCCCTTCCCGGCCCTGCTGGGGCACCCGAGGGACCAGGGAGGGAAACTGGCCCTTACCGACTTGTCCATGACAATGACAGCGGCCGTGCCGAGCCCGCTCTGCGCCTGCACCAGGGAATCGAAGTCCATCAGCACAGTCTCACACACCGACTTGGGGAGAAGCGGCGTGGAGGAGCCTCCCGGGATCACAGCCAGCAGGTTGTCCCAACCCCCGCGGACACCCCCTGGCAGAGAAGGGGACAGGCTGAGGCCAGCTGAGAGCCGGCCCGCGGCCCCTCCGCAGGCCAGCCCGTGGCGCCTTACCCGCGTGCTTCTCAATTAGCTCCTTCAGGGGCACCGACATCTCCTCCTCCACCGTGCAGGGGTTGTTCACGTGGCCGGAGATATTGAAGAGCTTCGTCCCAGAGTTGCGTTCGCGCCCGAAGCTAGCGAACCAGGTTCCCCCCCGCCGGCAGATGGTGGGCGACACTGCCACCGTCTCCACGTTGGCCACCGTGGTGGGACACCCAAACACACCTGGAAGCAGTAAAAGCTCACAAAGGCTGCGTCTCCTCAGAGCGCGTCAGCCGCTCCGTTCCTGCTACGGCAGAGCCTCAAGCAGCAGGACGGCTGCCCAAGGACAACCGTTTTTGGCCACGGTCAAGGTCGTTTCCTCCAGCCGCCGGCCCCCCAGCTCCTTTTCCCTCAACTGGCACCATTTGCCTGGGAAGGGGTTCGTGCTGCCGAGAGCTGCAGGAGGCCTCTGGGACGCCGTGGGAGCAAGGAGAAACGTCCCACGCTCGCCAGCTCTCGGGGCAGAGGTAGAGGAACGATGCTGGGAACATACCCACATCCGCAGGGAAGGGCGGCTTCAGGCGCGGCTTGCCCTGCTTGCCCTCGAGGGACTCGATCAGAGCCGTCTCCTCCCCGCAGATGTAGGCCCCAGCGCCCCGCACCACGAACACGTCGAACGCGTAGCCTGAGCCGCAGGCATCCTGCCCCAGCAGCCCGGCCTCGTAGGCCTCTCTGATCGCCAC